TTCAACTACATGTGCACTGGGTTCAGTCTGTAATAATTCACAATTTTCCATAATTAGTCATAATAATTTATTGTGTAAAATATTTAAAATATTCACAACACTATCAGCATGAGTAATTTAGGAGACCTTAATCCAGTACTACTTGCTCAGACTAGAACTAGAGTAACCGAAATTTAAAGCGAATATTTATTCATTTTCAAACTAATGTTGGTTTTTTTTTTACTTCTTATCAGAGTTGTGCAAACGATTTCGTTTAATCTTCCAATTTAGGTGTCCGAAGAAACTTATAGAAACAAAAAATGAAAATCGTTTAACGGCGATTTTACTACAACCCTTTGCAGGAACCGGAAGTTGGCGGAATCAAGATACATTTTAAGGTTTACTCTGTCGGCACAATGACATTCATAAAGCATCTAAGCTTTATTTAGTTACAGGATAAGCCATTGAGCTTCCGGATAAACTCTAACAAACAACGGCTTTTGTCGTTGCAGCGGCTTAGATCCGTTAACAGGCAAAATCCTTGTCTGATCGTTTTAAGAAAACAGCAATTCAAGACATCCAAAATGCAAATCAAATTATATAATCCGTCTTAGAAATATTTACAATTTAAGCACATTATAGCTTTTGCGAGGTTCCTTTTTTTAATTTTAATATAGATTCAAACAGAATTTATTTAAAGCACAACGTTAACTTGTAGCAAATTAAAATATATATATATAAATATAACTATTTTTTGTATTGTGGAAAAATAAGAAGCTTACAACGATTATACTTCCTAATCATTTATTTGTTTTGTTTTAATAATTTCTGTTTATTGTAATTTACTGTTTGTACTCTTCACCCTCAGAGCCGTAATCATTATTTATTTACAAATAAATCAAATAAAAATCAAACAATTTTTGTAGTTACATATTATTTTTTGTATTGCTGGCAACATTTTTTTTATAAAATAATTTTTAAAAAAGACCTTTGGATAAATATAATCATTTTCCCCATATTTTTACTGATTAAAACAGATGCAATTTAAATATGAACATCAACATTTCTAATAACAGAACCGTTTTATCGAACCGCTTGAGTAATTCGTTTTATTTTTATATATTGTAAACGACTTTGACGAAACAGCGTGAGAGATTCTTTACTATACGAATTGTCTGTTTTTCTTAGAAAATTAACTTATTTATCTAATTGCCCATAAGTGGTTCTGGCTGTATATCAAGTACAGCCGTATCAAAGTTAATTAATTAGACATTTTTAGGAATTGCTGATTAACTCTTTACTTAGAATTGTCTGCTTCTTGTGTCTGTACTAAAATGCAAAATAATACAAAAAGCATATTTCCCAATGAGTGACATAAAAGTGATTTATTAAAACCAATGTGAAGTTTGCAAGGATTAGTTTAGCGCAATTTTCATAAAACAAGTACCCATTATACGCATTATGTAAATATGTAGTTGGTTTTACAATGATGTGTTTCCAATCTTGGGATGAGAAATCAGATATAACAGTAGCAGTTTTGCTGACATACCTTTTAGCTTCGGTGCCAAACTGAGAAAATCAAATTTATCGCTATAGTTTCACTTGGATTTTTAATTATAATAAAATTTTAATGCAGATAAGCCATTGGGCGGATACAACTGCGATTCGCGGTACGTAACCTTGCAACCTTATGTTGTAATAACCTAAGTAAAAAAATAAAAATGTATTTTTCTATTACTTTACTTTTTACACGTCTTGAGATTCGCGGTTAAGCGAGAAATAAATTGAACCCGGACCCGAAGGTCGTAAACCTTAATCGAATGCGGAGCCATGCAAAGTGCTTAGGCAGAGGTGGGTGCACGTCTTAAGTGTGACGATAACAATAATACAGGGTGTCTCAAAAAGAACGGTGGGGTTTCAAACGGCTGTAGGTTGTTTTGGACCTACAGCGATCTGATAGGGCTTGAACGAAAGAGAGAGTTGTCAAGTTTCGAATGACTGTCACTATATGTCTCTCCACGTTCCCGTTTGTGTCGCCAGCCTTCATTGTTCAGTTTGTTAGGATGACGTCCGCACAACATAAGTGATCGAGTTCAGAGACATCTAGTGGCAGTCATTCGAAACTTGACAACATTCATTCAAGCCTTACCAGAGCGTTGTGGGTCCAATACTTAACACAACCTACAGCCGTTTGAAACCCCGCCGTTATTTTTGAGACACCCTGTAGTGTCGGTAAGCAAAATAAAATTTAAAAAAAATAAATAAACGCAAGTCGCCACCGTCGTTTTTATTTCGCGCACCGGTCGTTAATGAAAAACAATCTTTTTTATTTTTTCCCCACCCCTTTTGGGCCACGACCCCGGTTCTCTTTCTATTTCTTTCTTCTCTTTTTTTTCGCCTTTCTCCATTGCCACCCCCCTCCCCCCTCCTTTGGGGGAATACCCTGTGGCATTGTGCAAATTTCCAACGGTGTTCCGGCGACCGAATCATTGTAATGGACAACAGCGGCAACGGCGGGCGATTGTGACCGACGTGACGCGGGTGCAGATTCGGTTTTTACGTGCCGGAAAACCGATTAACATTTTCCAAATGACCGTTAAGCTTTAGCCAAATGCACATCCGTAGCAGCAGCAGCAGCAGCAATGGCCGCACCATTTTACTCTGCGAATAATAATAATAATAATAACAATATTAACGATGTTCGACAGTAGTCTGAACGGTTTTTCGTTTATTGTCATCCGACCCCGTTCCTGCCGCCTGCCATACCTGCCCTCACCTGCCTGGAGCCTTTTACATCCCCATTGTTACTGGCGCCCTCGCTATTGTGTCACGGCAAGTTAAATTCGTCCGCCGGCACACTTGTTGCCAACCTAGGGACTTATTATCGTACAACAACCACACACACAAATACCCAGCCGGAACGTTCAGAGCATAAAGTAAAAATACAGGGTGTCTCGAAAACAATAGTGGGGTTTCAAACGGCTGTAGGTTGTGAATTATTGGACCTACAACGCTTTGGTAGGGCTTGAACGAAAGAGGGAGTTGTCAAGTTTCGAATGACTGCCACTACATGTCTCTGAACTCGATCACTGACCATTTCTCAATATGTCTGATCGTTTATTGACACAGATATATACACTAAACTAGATTGCTAAGTGTTCATGCCGCCAATAGAGATAATTGAAGTTACCATTTTCCACCACCTTTGTGGAAATTATAACCTTATCACATGAAAATGTGTTTATAACAATAATTAAGTTGGTAACACAGAACCACAGATATATATACATAATATTTTATACACACAAAAATGGCGGACGTCGACTTCCATTCTTATCTCTAGTTAGCAATCTAGTTTATTAAGATTAGTTTACTTAGATTCCCTTATGCTTATACTGTGTATGATGTCCTGTACCGAAGCAACGAAGTAACCAAGAAGGCGAGCGACAGTGTGGCCACTTTAAATGAAAATAAATACTTTTCCTATAGGTTGTTAAACACTGCACAGTTATAACCCTGATCAACTATACAGATGAATGGATGAATTCGAATTTAGTATGATAATATTTTAACTGGCAAGTCGTATGTTTTGTATCACATGTTGGTAGTGGTAAAACAAGTGTAAAATATTTACCAGAGCAATGTAATTTCCCTATTCCGGTCACACTGCAGTTCGCCTTTTCGCTTACTTCATAATTATTTACTTATTGCGAACCCCTGGTTTGGAGTAATGTATTTCATTACAAAATCAGGGGAAATACTTAATATTATTATTTATTAGTAGGTAAAACAATTGGCTGGGGCCTTGTATATATTTGCATGTGTTGAGTACCGAACACTGTATAGACCTACTGGAATTTGCTGTGGTGGTCAATGCACGCTATTTTTTAAAGATTTGATATCATACATCTGGTCACACTGCACTTTCACACTGACGAAATTAGTGGTCCAATAACGTTTGTGCGTCATTATAACCATTTCATATGTTTTTTTTTTTAAGTCAAGACCGCGCTGTGGCCAAAAATCGTGTACAGAATACTAAGGCTAGCGGTTGAGGCAAACTTTTTACATTAGTATTTTTTATGTCCTGAATTTCGATGTAAAAAGTATTAACGGCCAAATTGGTTTATATTACTTTACCAACATTTAAGCTGTAAAATATTGTCTTAAAATATATTTTTATTTTATCGCACAACAGGTCCAGCCGCGACAACCGCGAGCTACAATTCTAAAAAAATAACCTTAAAGTGATTAGGTACATACTAACTAACATTTTCGGAGTTTATTTTCTGTACCCAATTATACTGTTCATTCTGTATATTTATAATTATGTTTTTCATGTAATGTAATAACCCTGAGCCTCCACGCAAAGTTCCTTCTCAACGAGGCCCAGTATTGTTTGTAAGAAATAAATCAAGTATATAATTTCAATAAATAATATCCGAGAAGTACTTCAGAATATAAACACCGCGCTTAAACAAATATTAAGTATGTTAAGTACAAAATATTTTGTTTCGTTTTATACTTTAGGTTAAATGTTTTCCTCGAGTTGTATACAATGTATACATAACATTAATAACCAGAACATGGGAAAACCATTTTCATTGCTCGGGGTTTAAGGAGTAAAACCCTGAATTTGAAAAGCAATATTATGTAGTAGGCATCGTTTTAACAAAATTATAATAAGTGCGTTTTCTAATGTGAATACTGAATAGTTTAAAACGATGAGCGTTTTACGGCTTGTAATTGTTTAATCAGCAAACGGAGAAGAGACAAGGTTAAGCATTCGGAATAATAAACCGGTATTTGCATTATGTTAAAAAAAAAGGGTAAATGTTTATTGCAGTTCATCGCTGTAAAAGGAATAACGCAATTTTGTTAATTGAACTGGCTCGATGCCTAAAGACAAAACTCGTCGATGGCTTTTCACAGCTTTTAACGCCCTTTTTCGTTTACACCTATTAAATACCCACTCATTTTCTCCAACAGTTAATCTCCAACGGCCGTTTGTGTGTTTACAGGTTCAAAATTACCGGATTTCAAGACCGAACTCACAAAAATGGATCCAAAGTTTAACGGCACCGTGGAAAACGTAACAGCCACAGTAGGTCGCAGAGCAACACTGTCTTGCACAATCGACAATCTAGGAGCTCACAAAGTATGTAGAAAAAGCTACATATTAAGTTATACAAGCACTTACATGCTTATAGTATTTGCAAATTAAAAAAAAAAAACAGAATACAATAATGTAGTAATCAATTCAGTTTTTTTTAAATGTTGCTAAACTTAAAAAACTACCTCATCGACTCACGTTTATCTTTATTGTTATTAGTAATGTTCTGTTTTGTATTAGAAAAAGTTAAGTCAGCATTAGGTTAGCAATAATCCGAGGTATCTCTGTACTAAATATATGATTTTATCAATATAGCGGTAGATATAAATATAGTATATCGATTTAAAAAGACCATATTGTTATATACTTTTAATTTTAATATAAAAAAAAATTATAAGATTTTTTTTTTAAACCAAAACATCAAAATATGTACATATAAATCTCCCTTTGTGCTCAGTGGGATATCAATTGAACAGCTGAGTGGCAAAATGGTAATATTCCTCAACTTTTGGAAAATAAAAAAACTGTTTATTTCCTATATAATATGTATATAGGAATTATATAAGTCCTACTAAAATTTATAAATCAAGTTTCAATGGAATAATATTATCCTTTATGCGGTGAAATATATACATTTGTTTAAAAAAAAACAATAATTCATTAATATAAACTTTAAAAAAAAACATTTTTCAGACGAGTCCGCAACCACGAAAGAGCATTTTCATGTCTCGTTGAAGTACTGAATAAATTTAGAGTAGTGGTGGAATTATAGATAATGAAATAGTATATTAACAAGCAGTAACAAGTTAGTATCTAAGGTGGCTAGTAAACATATCAAGTTTCTGGCTAATATTTTAGTGTTTTCATAATATCTGGCCTAAAACAATTCATAGGGAATAATATGACTTGTTAAATTATTGAATTTATTTTTTAGTGATAGTTTAATCGTTGTGAATACAACACATAATTTAAAAAAATTAACATCACCAACCCCAACCCCATTCCTACTCCCATTCCACCCTCATCCCTCATCTCTAATCTCTAATCTTTAATCTCTAATCTCTAATCTCTAATCTCTTAACTCTTATCAGATAACAGCACGGCAGTTTTTGTGACATCAGTTTTTTCGGTGATGTGCCAGAGTTAAGACATGAAAATGTCAAAAATAAATAGCACATAGATTCAAAATTGCAATCATTATACTTGAGCAAATAGTTTCAATTAAAAAATGCACAATATGTAAAAATTAAATAGGTCAATATTAAATTTGGTTGTGCTCAGACCGAGTATTTGATTTAATAATCTGCGTAGCTCGTTTTATAAGTACATGGTGTGTAAGTTACCAATAATATAAAAAACCCGGTTGATACTGAAATTATACTAGCCGCTGTGCAGTTTCTTGTAGGAGGTTCTTATTCGTTACAATTAGGCTTTTGAGAATAAACTTAATCAGCTTTGTCTCCGGGCGTTATTCAATTATTATCGACGGGTATCAATCAATGTGGAGGGCCTTAATTTTTTCATTTTTTTCTTCTTCTTCTTAATTCAGCAGCAGTCTACTGTGAGGGTTTATTAAATTTCTCCATTTGCTTTCCGCTCACGTACACACGGGCCAGAATCTTTCCCTTTCCGGAAAAGACAACAGCAAAGTAGATATCTGCAACAGCCGACACCGCTTTTATAAATTATGCAAATCGCGCATCCGCATCAGGTGCCTGCTGCCTGTTCAACACCCGTGTGGTCATCGTTAAAGGTCCATATAACAGCTGCTGTGGAACATCCCTCATCCGGTATGTCATCACAACAGAGTATTACTGCCAACTCGAGAGACCCTTCTGTGACTCCAGTAGATTTGCTATTCAATTTTTAACCCAAAAATATTGTCCTTTTTTCCTAACGTTTGTCACCGTTGCAGTTACAAATTCCCAATAACGTTTGGTATTATTTAAATTCTATTCTAAAAACAAAAACAAAAAAAAAACTATTACTAGTTTAACCGTACCAGTCCCACACAATGTGAATTCAGTCACAATGTGCCAGTAACAATTATTTGTCACTAAGAAAGTGTCCAACTTAGCGTTTGATACTTTTATTCGGTTATATTCATAAATGTTCAACTTGATCAGAACTTGAACTTAATATTTTATTAAAAACTACTGCTGAACACGACTAAAGTTTTTTTCCATTGAACGCATGCTGAATAGACCGGTGTGGTGTATGTCTAGCCGTTAACTTAGCTACACTTTCTTGGCCGAGGTCGGTTAACAAGTTCGACGGAATACATGAATAAATTCCACGGTTTTCTTTTTTTTTTTTTTAAATGAAACATTGTAGCAGAAGTGCGCGGAAATAAATCAGCCAGGTTAAGCCAGATTTATTTTTGTAGCTCTCCAGTGTTACAGAAAAGAATATTTCATCAGCGCCCAAACTTTTACAATATTTAAATGGCCGGAGACGAAGAGAAGGGAGCCAAAAGCTTGTTTTCGAAGGGTCGGGGTAGTTAGACAAACGTGGAGGGTTATTTCCACATCCAGAATTTAATATTTATTACCTTTATTTTTTTGTTGGTTATATAATTCAGGCACTTTACCGACCGTGTGCATAGCAATGTAAATATATGTATGGCGATATTATGTAACTGTGTGTGAAAGAATAAATCTGAATAAATTGTTAAATGCACAAAACGGACCAAATTATGCAACTTCAAACTATTATTATACAATACACGCTCAAATTGATGGCGTTATGATACAAAAATAAATTATATCACAACATAGCTAACGGCCAAAAACTATGTATGGACACCAATCACTAACCTCGGTAATAACATTTTAATATCATATTTAAAAGCTTAAATAAAAAAAAAACTACTTACAATTTAAACAACGTAGTTTAAGTCAAAATGTAAAGTCTTCTGCGAAGTGATTAAACCGTCAAACGACCCTCAGTGGTCACATTTCCTTTACACAATTTTCCTTTCAGAACGGCTATCGCAACATAAAATTAATGTCGTTTATGCAGCTTAAATCGATTAAAAAAAAATAAAAAATTGTATTAAAAGCGCGTTTTGGAAATTGACGGCCTCTCTAAATTAAGAAAATGCGGACCAATTCGCCGTGATAATGGTGTTTTTTTTTTTTTAAAACCCTATTACTTACAGTCTGTCGGGTTTACATAGGTAGAAAAAATAATAATAACGCATCGTAAACCTCGCTCAAAACGTTTCCTTCGGGGTTTATCCTCTTTCTATAAAAAAAAAAATACCGTTTGTGATAGCCAACCGAAAGATAAATAATCCGGCATAAAACTGAAACATATAATATGTGCAGGAGCCTAAGCGAACAAGTTAAACCCGTACGAGACGACCGAACCCTTAGAGCAATAAGCAATCTTTAATCTAAACGTTACGGCGTGGGTGGGTTCGTCCCGATATATTGCTGCGGTCAGGTAAAAACAATTTATTCACTATTTGGACTTAGACCATACTTAAACGGTAGTCGACACGCACAAGGATAGATATATTTGAATTTTACCAGGCTCGGCAAACACACACACACACACACACACCGGACGACTGCGCGTTAAATAAGCGATAATGCAATGTAACCGAATTATATATAATTCAAACGCAAAATAGAAGTCAAAAGTAGAAGTGTATGCAAAACCGTGACGGAAAGGGATAGTGCTACGGAACGCCTTTTCTTTTCAAAGGGTTGGTTTGATGTATGATTTTAACGGTTGTGTGTGCATAACAAGGCATGAAAGCGCTATGCCCAGATTAAGTAAATAGTTGTTTTTTCAACTTAAAATCATCGGCCGCCTCGCCCACCCTCGCGTCAACGACCAAGGCGTGTAAACAACAACATGGCAAGGAAAATAAATACACAAAGCTTTGGCTTCGGGCAAGAGGTAGTAAACACCAAAGAAGTAGTATGGCAGGGAAACAAACGACTAACGAGGCCAAAATCTTAAACGATGATAATTTAACGAAAACGGTTTGTTTTTGTGCGAACAAACCGGAAACGAAACAAACCGTTTTTAAACCGTTTTATTGACTAAGTAAAATGAAAAATAAAATGAACATGTTGGGACGGAAGAGTAGAATGACAAGGCTAGACAGAATAAGGAATTTCAAGTTATTTTATTAAAAGAAGATCGGAGATTGTGCCATTCTTTTGAAAAGGAGGGAGGATAAAGTAAAACGGGTAAAATAGATTAGTGTAGAATAGTTTAGAGGTTGGAGTAAACCGAAAAATAATTGGATGGATGTCAAAAGTCATAAATAAAGACATGAAGGTGTGGAAGTGTGTAAAGTCGACAGAGAAACAGTAACGAATAGAGAATGGTCAATCCAATATGGAATAAAACGAAGAAATAAAAAATGTGTTTGTATGTCTTGAGTGATTTAAGTTATTATATTTTTTTTTAAGTATTAATAATATTAATAACTATTTGTTGTATATACAATATATTATGTATTTTCAGTAATTTGACGTGTTACCGTACTCTGAATCATAATCAGATATAATAAATAACCTGTAATCTGTAGATAAGAACCGTTTGTCTATCATTATTTCAAAATAATTTATAGGGACTTTCTAGTTATCGCCAATTGGACAATGCGAACATAAATATGAATTTTACCGGTTTTGGAAAACCGAAGAAATATGATAATTATTGAGAGGAAATTTAGTACCTTTACCTTTAGTAGTATCTTTACAAAGTCATAGCTAATGAACAGATAAATGAAAATAAAAAATTCAAACGCTGACATATTTTAAAATATTTTGTCTACACATTTATGTAATTAAAGACATATATGTTGCCGTTTAAAATAACCAAAAATCCCCTTTTTCGGATTATAAGAATCGGTGACAAAAATTCTCAATATATTGAAAAATGTAGTAAAATATGTACCTAAAAGTTAAGGGGAAAAAAAATTCTTAAAATATTTATATTCGGATTAGGTTACTATAAGGCATAGTCCAATTTTTTTTGTAAAAATTTGCAGAATTGTTTATTCGATTTACTGGACCCCGTGTTTCGATTGTCGCAGTGTCTATGATCGTTATAGAACATAGGCAGTGGTTTTTTTTTTTTTTAATGAAAATCTTCCATCACATTTAATAAGATTTTTATACCCGTCAAAACAGCGGGTGTCCCTCCGACTGTGGTAAACGGCGAACGAAGACCGTGATGACCGGACAAATTGCATTACGATTTCGCAAACACCAAGTGTAATTCGATTCAAGACACGGTTATTTCCGCCGCCTTTGCTTTGCACGGCCTCGATAGAATCGCAAAAGTATATTATTATTGGCCGACTTTAAATAACAACATGCTATCCGCAGCACTGTAGGTGTGTAGATTCGAATGGAGACAGAAAAAGGGGGGTTTTTTTTATACGTTTGTACGGTACCTAAAATAAGCGTTTTTCATTTTTTTCCCACCCTATCGTTCAACAATCGAAATCGGATTTTGCAAAAAGCATTTTACGAGCACATTATTACAAACACACATACACACACAAAGGCACTGTATATTATTATATAGTACAGAGCCGACAAAAGTGCGTTCTCCAAATCGAATATAAAAAAAAAAAAAAAAATGCATACAAAAAGAAAAAACACAAGCACAAACTCAACACTACTCGGTTTGCCGAGTTATTAAACATATTTCTATTTATTTAAAAAATATATATATAAATATAACACCTGCAGTAGATTTTTATAGTTTTGTAGTTTTTTTTTATTCTGATTTACTTTTTTAAATGATGATTAGAGAAACGCGTTAGGACAATCATTTAAACTCTCTCTTCCCTTACAGAAAACAAACATACTCGGTAGTTGAAAACCCACAAAGTTCCATAGAAATAACACATTTCAATTTTTTTGAAAGCATTTATTTTACTACAAAAAAAGACTTTAAGGTCTTTAATGCAACAAACAACAAAAAAAAATCATAAATAATGTATATAATAATGCCTTTATGTAAATAATCAGTTAGAAAAACATGTACAAAAATATGATGACGTTTAAAACCAATACTGAAATAAAAAAAACTCATTGTAGAAATTGGATAACCCTACAAAGCTGTTCACCGTTTTTTAGTACACATACATATAAAAGCCACAATAGTTACATGTTATGTTTATTTTTATATGTGCAATCATTACATATTAATGTGATAAATAAATTTAAATATTTTACTATACAAACGAAAATGCATTAAAACTAATGTCTATCGCGTTACACCATTATTACCTAGCTGATAGCTGATAGTGATACTCTTATATGATATCATTGAAAAAGATGGTCAAGTAGATGCTATCTACACTGACTTGCGAAAAGCTTTTCCTATTAAGTTGGTATCATCAGTTATACATCAAATAGGCATTTTTAATCCTCTTCTATGATGGCTCTTTTCTGATCTATCACAGGTCCTGTTCCCAAGTGGTTAACATCAGTGGCGTGTTATGCAATTGAATAAATGCCTTATCAGGCGTTCCCTAAGGTATGGGGCCACCTATCCCCATTTGTTGTATTTATTTTATTTACTAATGATGTGTATCTACCGTTTCATCTAGATCGGTTGGATGAAAGCAGAAGACCAAACGATATTGACGTTCCATGAACGCGTGGTGGCCTCGAGCGGACGGTTCAGCGTGACTCACGAAGGGTTTAGAACTTGGTATTTACACATCAGAGACGTGGAAGAAAACGACAAAGGTTGTTACATGTGTCAAGTAAACACAATTGAGATGCAGAAGCAAATCGGCTGTTTAGACGTCTTGGGTAAGAATATATCTACTTTTGAAAATATAACCATTTCAGTGCTGACTTATGAAATACCTTCTTCTTGTACACCCTGTATTTTTTTAATTTCTCTCGACTACAATAATTCGTGCAGTATTAAATTTTGTTCATGTAGAAGTATACAATTTTAATGAATTCCATTGCTTCTTCGCATACCATGTTGTCGTTTGAATTACAGCTACATTCCTCAAGAAAATAGTTTACTAATTGTAAAATGAAGTTGTTTTTTACAACAGTCATAAAAAAAAAGTTATACAAATTCTAGAACACTATAAAAACAATTTTTAATTAATTCACACTTTTTTTTATTCATTTATATTTGGAATTTCACAATTAAACACTGATAAAGAAATATAACCGCGCGCGGTTTAATCATTGTTTTCCTCTATGTATTGTTAAATAATACATTATCAAATATTTAGCTCTGCATAGCAAAATACATTATTAATTTTCAAATTTCAACATTTACTTTATAATAACATATTTCACTTTGCCTTTGCCAATTTTGTAAATTGAAAATAACATTTTAAAAAAAACATGTCATACCCTTTTGACTACAAAGTCAATCCAAAGCACTGCAGGCGGCAGTCCAATGTTCCTTTGAATGAGCTACCAACATAATATTATGTGCGGGCCTGCCTTGTCCCATTCTCTTATTGACCTAACAACATAGTAATAAGATCATCACTTACTGTATGCATGTAGTGTAATTTTGTTTGCACTATACATTAAATGTAGAAAATAATAATACATTTCAGCTATTTCGGTGCTACGTGACGTATTGCCGAAAAATATCTCTTCCATATTATGTAGGTTTCCTAATACTTCTGCTACGTGACGGCCAACTCTAATAAAACAGCTGTTTCTGTTTGAAAGAATTTTAAATGTGAAGTGCTTAAATATCTTACGCAACATAACAAAATAACAGTCACATTTAAATTACATCCAAGTAAAACTCTCACTGGAAAAGGTCGAAAGTACATAAGTGAAAAAACAATTAAAACTATTAGTTCCCAAAACGATGATGCTGGAATATAAATTAGATAAATTCATATAACTCATTTAAATTATGGTTTTTAGTTAGTAATGTTGACCTAGGAGTTACATACATGTAAAGCAACGAACGTATTGACTTGGGTTGATCGGTATTACCTTAAATATTGCTAGTCTCAGATTGTAAGCATAATATAATGTATCCTATATGTGCACTGAATTATTTGACTTACTTATCTATACTCTTTTTGCGATAACACTTTATTATGATTTATGGGGATTGAAAGCGGTCTGTTTTAGACCAAAAATCCTGACAACATTTTTGACTACATTACTAGGTTATGTTCAAATCGGATTTTTCATGTAAGAAAATTGCTTTTTAGTATTGAAACATTGTCGTTCATTTTTGACATTTTATGTCTTTACCTTAGCACACAACCGGAAAAAATGGACAGGAAAAAACCTAACGATATCAGATGATTTATCTGATAAGATAAGAGAGATAAGAGGGGTAAGGGAGATAAGAGACAAGAGAGATAAGAGATTAGAGATCAAATGTGTTTTGAGTGAATTCGTTTAATATGAACAAAAGAAGATTAGTATCCTATTATCGAATTTATCCATTAAAAATAAAAGTGATTGCCCAATACGATAAGATGTACAACATGTTTTAACATAAAGAAGCAAACGGCCAGGTGAATAAACTTTAAGTATACATACTTAGAAAACGTTAGTTTCGTTGTCATCCCCGTATAGTGTGGCAATCCTTTGTTGTTGACACCCCTAGACATTTTTCTCAGACCAGATAGACAGAGGGGGGTCGATTACGGTTTTTGTGCGTGAAAAGAAAAATAATAGACACTAAAGGTTTTCTGCGTGAACCCCATTTAATCCTAGATTCCCGGAGAGACGGACCCCGAAAGTAGACATCCATATAATATACAAATGCAATTTCCCTTCAATTGATTTCAATTTATTCTCGAGCATGCAAATTGTGTCCAATAAATATTCGTTATACCATTTTTCAAAATAGGATCTTTCGACAAAAAAAATATTTTCTCATAAAATCTAAAAAATAAGTTCATCGTTTCATGGGTACAAATTAATTTAAATAACTACATCATTTTGTATGTGACCAGAAAAACTATAAAATTTAAAAAAAAATCATAATATGTTTACTAGCCACCTTAGATACTAGCTTGTTACTGCTTGTTAATATACCATTTCATTATCTGTAATTCCACCACTACTTTAAATATTATTCGGTACTTCAACGAGACATGAAAATGCTCTTTCGTGGTTGCAGACTCGGCTGAAAAATGTTTTTAATTAAGCTTTCATCGCTTTGACCACATTCCAAGTCGCTAAAATACTCTACATTGTACATTGAAAAATAAGAAACCACAAAAATCCAATCGTGGTGTCGTCAATCCTCCGTCAACTAAACGGTCACAGTTAAGGTTTTGTGGTCATTTTTATGATTTATGAAATATAGAGAAAAATACCACATCAGTGAATGTCCAAAGTATAAATTACTACCCACAAAATGTGCACAGTGTGGTAATAGAAACATGGTTAATTTCAAACAAATCTAGTAAACGAACTTACTAACTCAGTTTTGGCAATAAATCTATATCTGAAATGATCCATTTGTATACCTTCGAGAGGAGTAAAAAACTATAACAAAACAATTTGTTAATAGAAATATTTTATTACTAAAAAAGAACTTTGACTCTCCTGCCTCTCGAGTACAACAATAATGTCTATGTTATTACCACATTTCCAAATACTTGAGTGAAATTCTAGTACGGCCTTTTATTGTTGTGTGACTTAATCATACATTGTTTCTACGTTGACCTGTTAAACTAGGGCCACTAGAATCGTTCTTACCGGTTTTCAACAATGTTAATACAATTGTTACAATAACGTGAATGAAAAACAACTGCGTTTGTCTACCTCACACGAGAGTTATGTGTACTCTTATACACTCGTTGTAACAGAAAATTGCAGCACATTTATTATGAAAAACAAAGCATAATATGTCAAACTGAATGATAAAGCTAACTTTTTTCATTTTCCACTCACATCAATTTTATTTCAGATATAATATGTAAAACGTGCCTAAGCAGCAATTTTCGGGGTGCTACTTTAGTACTACTAGTTTTACTAGGTAATATTATCTATATTTAATAAAATAATGACGGTTATTCTTTAGAGAAAAAAAAACCATTTTCGTTTTCATTGAATGTGTTTCTAGAATCAGACCAGCAGAGCATATTATGTATTTTATTCGAAACGTGATCAGATAAACATAGACTGTTTGGAAAAAGAAGTTTTCTCGAGTAGTAAGTTTCGTCGGGTGTCCATTGATGAAAATTGAATTTTCCACGTTTTCGAAAAACTACAAAATTCCAAAAACACCCGAGTTCGCTAACTGAAAAATAATTGCGCGAGTACATTAAAACTTTACCAATCAAACATCTGGTGGAACTCAGAAATTACTGGCACGCACTAATGACTTATGCACAGTTTTGTCTTAGCAAACGCCCGTTGACGGGGTTCAGACGATTATTTTTACTACCCGGTTTCCTACTTAGACACAATTCAACAGACTACATTTTAAGTGATTATTTACTGCCACTTTATTTGCTTAAACCGTTTTAATATTGTCATTAGGTCTTAATAATGAAATGGTGCCGTTGGCATGTAATCGGTTTGTTATTGATAAGTTATAGATTTTAGGCCTACTGTGTATCTAAACATGGTAACGCTATTTTTTTTTCTGATGACAACAGCTAGTCTCGTTTTCGAATAAGCATCAAGTGTTTGGATAGTTGGAACAAAACCTATTTAACATGTATATGTTTTATCGCTGGGGGTCAGGACCTAAAAATTTGTCTGAAACGTAACGCTGGATGTCACACTCTGCGGCGGTAGCGGAGGAAGGATGAGGGAGATTAAAAATAACAATAGAGATAAAATATTAGAGTATTAGATTAGAGAAAAGAGAATAGAGATAAACATATAGATAAGAGATAATAGATTACAGTTAAGATATTAGAGATACTAGATTAGAGATTAAAAAAAAGAGATAACATTAAAGAGATTAAAAAAAATAGAAATAACGGATTAGATATAAAAATAGAGATAAGAGAGAAGAGATAGAAATAGAGATAATGGATTAGAGATGATAGATTAGAGGAAATAGATTATCGACAAGATATTAGAGATAATAAATTAGAGAAAAGAGATAAGAGATAAAAATAAAGATGACAGATTAGGAAAAAAAGAGATTAGAAAGAAAAATAGAGATTGTATTGGAGATACTAGATTAGAGATCAAATATAAGAGATATAAGGTAAGAGATTAGATATTAGAGATAATAAAAGTACCAAGGTCTTATACTTGAACATAAAGACATATACACGTGCTTATGTATCCGGTTGTAGTGTGGATACTGTTTAGTTTTTCCTTAAATATTGCCCATACTAGCCTCCTCAATAAAAGACCGCATGCAATATAATTTGCTTATCGAGTATTCGTGTTTGTCTTGTATTACTTTTATTATTAAAACGACGTATCGACTAATGTTTATGACAAAGTTATTTGTGTGTAAAATACGAATTTGATAAATCTGTTTTATAAGACTATTTTTAAGCCGGTATCAGGTGTGAGTACATATAAGGAGCACAGAGAACCGGGAAAAATGAGACAAGCTAAACCCGAGATTGTAATTTTGATTGAATTATCGTACTACCGAGGGGTGTATTATTTAGATTTTTTTTCTGGAATCTTTTTCCCAGATATTTCTCACGTTTTGAGACCGTCTCGCGGTTAAGTAAGTAGGTATAAGCACGCGCGGCACTTGAGGCGACTGACGCGTTATAAGGAATTTAAGTTGCCAAGTTAAACGTGTAGCTACATTATAATAATAATAATAATAATATGTATAATGTATATAATAATATCATACTGGGGAGCTCTGG